TTGAGTGGCTGAGGTTGACACTGATGGTCCAATCATGGTGATGGTCGTCCAATGATAGTCATTGCACAATGGAAGTCGGACAATAATCATTGGGCAATGAAGGTCTAATGACAGAGATCATGTGGCAACTGTGGAGATTGCACAGTGTTGTAAACCTAGGAATTTTTTTTTAAATAAAATGATTATATATTACAAAGATAATAAAAGTAATATTTATTGAAGATATATAATTTAAAAATAGTACATCAAAAATAATATGAATAAAATTAAGACTCATGTAGCACTTATGGAGAATGAAGGTTTATAAAACTAGTTTGAATTAATTAGGATAAGATGCATGATTATGATGATAATGATTTTGCAGGATAGGAAAACTAGCCTATAAAATCTGTCTTTTTGCAGGTGAAAACATCTGACTTTTGATCTTGTGAGCACCCTTATGTGTTTCTCTAAATATTATTTGCTTGAGCTTAAGAAGGAATATAATCATAATGGATAAGGCTGCAAACGAACCAACCCGAGCTGAGTATGTGAGTGTTCATGTTTGTGTTCATTTAATATTAGGTTGTTCAAGTTTGGTTCATGTTTGTTCGAGCTTTATTGTTTGTGTTCATGTTTGGTTCATTTAAATTAATAAGTATTAATGTTCGGTTCATGTTCGTTCGTTTAGTGCTTAATTATCGAGCTTTAAACAAACAAACATGAATGAGTCATAAACGAGCTATACTTTTAGTGTTTGTGAACTTAATTAACAAACAAGCTTTATCGAGTTTCCTAACAAACAATTACATCGAGCATGTTCGCGAACATATCTAACGATTTTTTTTTAACTATCAAACAAACACGTTCATAAACATATCTATGAACAAATACATTTATAATAAAAGCAATTGTCTATGTAACAAAGGCAGTGTTCAAGTTTGTTTATTTAAGAATCGAGTATCTAAAATATTGTTCAAGTTTGTTTGTTTAGTTAATTAAACGATCACAAACGAGCTTTAGTCGAACCGAACAATGAATAGCTCGTCGAACGTTTGGTTCGCTTGCAGCCCTAATAATGGAAACTTTCAAAGATGAGTGGAAGCTTTCATGAGTTTCAAAAAAATTGATTGACATGTAGATAAACTTAATAATAAAGCTCTGTGATATGTGGACAACTGAGAGAGAAAATTGTGGATTTAGAAGGGCATAGAAAAAATATCTCAGCTAAAGAGGATTAATTCATTTCATTCCATGCCTTAGTACTCTCTAAAATGAAGTAAATATATATTACAAGCCTTATTTTGTTACTTATCAATTCTAATGGAACTCACTCTACCTATTATAACCTCTTGTAATTATTTATGGATCAATTATCTACCATTATACACCACTTGAAAAGTGATCTTACTCTCGAGGTCAACAAAATAAATCTCCACAAATAACGAGATAAATTCAAATAAGATACACATACATGATCTGCAGGCTATGAAATGTAGGTATCAATATTGATGAAATTATAGGAGATGGGAGCCCATTTCTTCTGACGATTCACAAGCAAAAATTGAGGTATCAATTAGTCCTCCACCTATATAGTTAGTTCCTGCAATTATTCTAATGTGATTGGATTTTTCCTTTGGTATGCTTGAAATATAATGCACCTAAATTGCAAGTGAGATAAATTTATTATTTGATTAGAGGTTGAAGTGTGCATTGTTGGTTTGTCAATTAGAGTAGGTGTTTACTATTTTTAAGGGTCCAATGCTTCACAAAGTGGTTGGAGCTTGAAGGTTTTGTGAATTTCTGTACTTGCATATGAAGTCAGGCAATAGATGGATCCAAGATAAATAAGTCGAGCTTGTATAAGATTTTGTTTGTGACAACTCTCTTAATACTTTCTAAAATAGCTTTTTAGTTAAAAATTTTCTTAAATTGTTTTTTTTTTTTTTTTTTGTGCTAGAACGTTGTTTTAAAAAGTAATGAAAAAGTTGTTCCAAACAAAGCCTAAGTCATGGAGTCATCAATGCCATTGTGTTATCAAGGTATATTAATAGAGTTTGATTTGATAAGAGATGGTTATAGATAAAACTGTGTATGCCATCGACTATGGATAAACAAAGATGAATTAGAAGTTTTCTTATTCATTTTAAGAGGGCACTTACCAATAAGAGTTCAACGAAGCATTAATTGGTAGAACTATGAAGGGTTAGGAGATAAATAATTATTTGAGCTTCTTAAAAACTCTAGAAATTAGAGGATTGAAAAGGGGGAAAAGAAGAATCTCAACATAGAGATGCAAGACCCATTTAGTTCATTATCAACCCAAATTTAACCCATTTTATTCTTACAAATAGTAGAACTAACATTAACCACTAACCCATACAAGTCCTTATAATTATCCATCAATTACCTATCATATGACCATGTATATAACACCTCTTTAAATTGCACATGTAAGCCTCCACAAGAACTAATGAATGCATATTGATAATTTCTTAAAACCATTATAAGAATATTATTTATTTGTAATTGAATTTGCAACTAGCAATCATGTTTGATTATAATAGACATTTTTAAAAATTTATTGATTGTTAGACCTAATATATAATTATTATTCTTTTGTGCTACTAATTTGGGATCCTATCTAAAAAGTTTACATGTGTCTAATAAATTGGACTCCCAAACCCTAATACCAATTGTCTTTTATTCTCCCTTTTGAAAAATGTTATCATATTATGAAAGAATATGCTATAGGAATTTTTTTTCTTTCTATCTAATAGAAGTTAACTTCAATAACCCTCCAAGTCCAATCAAAATCACTACAGGAAATTCGTGTCTTACCGGCGGCCAAAATCCGTCGGAAATTAGCATTTCCAGCGAATTTCCGACGGATTTTTTTCTGATGGTAAAACGCGCGTCGGAAAAGCAGCTCCGGAGTAAAATAAGCCGCCGGAAATATTTCCGGCGGAATAATTCTGCCGGTACAATTTCCGGCGGACTATTTTGCGCCGGAATTTAAAAAATGAAAAAAGGTAAAAAAAGAACTATCGGATCAGCCATCCGGCAAGCCAGAGCAACTCTCTCACGGGCTGCACCAGCCCAGCCAAATCGAAGACGCTCCAGAAACCCGCCCACGACAGAAATGACTGCACCGCCCGTGGCTAGCGGACCCGCGCAACACGACCTGCCTTAGGCGGGATTCGAACCCTCGCCAAACCTTCAAAGAGGCCCCAACCACTATGCCGCTTATTCAAATTTAAACAAAAGCCGTTACCTGTTTAATCAAATTAATTAATGTAATCTAATTTTATAAATTTATTTTAACAACCCTAATTAATTTACTTTGATAACTAATTATTAGTTTAATAATATTTAATTTAATACTTAAGTATTAATTATTATTTAATTAATTTAATTTAATAAAATCTAATTAAAATATTTTTTTGATAATAAGTTCTTAATTATTTAACTTAATTTAATAAAATAATAAATTATAAATATTTATTATAGTCTCTTTTTTTTCAGAATTCCGTCGAAAATTCCGTCGGAAATATTATGTCTGAAAACCAATCAAAAATTTCCGGAAATCTGCCGAAAAATCTGTCGGAAAATGTTTCGTCGGTAATCCGCGGGAAACGCCGCCGGAATTGGTGATGAATTTAGTTCCGCCGGAAATAAGCTGTTTTCCTGTAGTGAATATTCCAATTGCATAGATCTTGGTGATTAGCCAAAAACATATTGACATCTCATTAACCATTTTTAACCATTATGCCATGAGAAGGCATTAATAAGTCCAAGTATCATTTATGTAAACCTTCAACAAAAGAGAAAATGATTAAAATGATATCTTTTTAGAGTATATTTATTTTACTGTATATTTTTTCTCCAAATTTAGTCACAAATCTACTCATATAAGATAATAAAAAAAATAGGAAAAGTTCACATGTTTTTATTCTCTAATTTGATCCCAAAACTCATTCATATTTAAAAAAATAAAAAATATAATGAAGAAACCTTGCATCACTTCTTTTTCTCCAATTTGTTCCATAAACTTTCCAAAAACATGACTTATTTTAGTCTGTTTTATTTGTTTTTTAAGAAATGATTTTATTGAATGATCAAAATAGTTATACCTGATATATCTGCTAAAAAATTGCATGATTTGTCATGAATATCAAGACAAAGTTGGAATTGGAAACTTCTGAAATTCAATTCAATAAGAACTTCAATTTAGAGTAAAACTGAATGACTTTCTGAGATGAACCTAACAATGCCAAAGATTGTCAAATCCGAGCCAGAATGAACCCAAATCAAACACTTGAAGCATGAATGGAAACTTCAAACATTAATTGGATGGCCAAATGATCTCCAAAATAGACATACTTATAGTCAAATCGAGCAGCTTGATGAGACAAATCCAACGAGCCCAAGATCACTCAATTATGACATCATTAAGGCACTTCAATGCTTAAAGAATATTTTATGATCAAGAGAATTAATATGGACCGTACAATAGAGTATTTTTTTATTTTGGTTCAAATTACCAAAATTCTCATTCAAAAAAACCTATAAATAAAGTGCATTTCCTATATGAGGAGAGAAGGAAGAATAAAGAGAACTACAAAGAGCTCTTTTATATTTTCCAACCATCGCCACCGACAACCACTATCAGCTATTGTCACCGACAACTATCATTGCCACCGACGATCAGCATCAGAAATCGCCATCATCTCAAGAATACTGATAAAATTTAACATTGTTGTTGGGTATAGCTATATGTACGTGGACACCTACTTTGAATCATTGACTATTTTGTGATCCTAACCTCTAGTCGTGTGACTTGGCCTAAGCTAGTCCCATCTCTTTATTGTTTTATTTCATCATTTAATTACTACAAATGTTTTAGTTAATAAAGCTCTCTAAATTAAATTGTGCAAGATTCTTTTTCAACATCACTTAAACATTTAAGTCCTGCATCATTGAATCTTGAAAAACACCATGCATCTTTTTAAGCAATTCTCTAAAATAAAGTGAAGGAATGCAATAAGAAAAATAAATTTCAAATTCCTTCCACATTACTCTTTCCCTTAATAACCTCATAAGCTGAAGCCTTATTTGGCACTAATAGTATCCTGCATAGTTTTATGCTTCATTGAAACTTACAAGCAGAAAAGGCAACATATTTCATGAATAAATAAAGACAAGTGAGTGGCATTACTTCTGGAGCCTGAGGGTAAATGCCTGAAGGGATAACAGAACTTGCTTAAGCTTCTCTCTGATTTCCAGATCAATGAGATTTCCATTTTGATCAAACTTCTGAGGAGGCAGAAACGCCGCAACAAATAATTCAGGCTTGTTGATGAAGTGGAGGTCCACGAAAACCCCAATCTGTCGAAGATGGTATTGGGATCTGCCACCTCCAAAACCTCCTCCTGAACTCACAACGGCTGCAGTCTTGCCTGCCCAGACATTTGGGGGCCTTGATGCCCAATCAATTGCGTTCTTCAAAGGAGCTGCAGTAAGAGGGAAATTCAAAAATATAATATATGTCCGATCAATTGCATTCTTCTAAGACTTCGTTTGTGACAGCTTTCTTACTGCTTTGTTATTTAGATTATAATCATAATTTATGTTTGACTACTGTTTTTTTTGTGCTTTCAAAAAACATTTGTATGAGAAAGTTCTACAACAATAAAATATTACTTTCTCTATAGCAGCTTTATAAAACAATAATAAAACTATCATATCCATAACCTAAGTCCTCGTGAATAAGGTTTTATTTGTGATAGCTTTCTTTTTGCTTTCTGAAGCAAATTTTAGTATAGAAAAATCTAATTTAAAAATTTTTATACTAAAAATTTGTTTTAAAAATTAGTAAGAAAGCTGTTCCAATCGAAGTCTAAGCTATTCTCTCAAACTATTGAATTGAAAGTTACAAGTCTACTACTTAACCACTAGGACATGATAAGGATCTTGGCATTTTAAAGAGCTTTGTAGCAAAACGCAAAAGCAGAATTCCTTTCATCAAGGAAAAAGTGAAGGAACAGAGCTAAACAACAATAGTAAATGCTCTTTCCTCAAGAATCTTAATAGGAGACTAAGGTATAAAAAAATAACCAAAAATGTTCAGATGACTAATTAAGATGATGTAGCACTAGATCAAGGAAAGAGGTACAAGCAGCCCATTTAGATTCAAACAGCCTAACTCAACTTCAGAAAATGATAAACCGTTGATGAAAAAATTTACATTTGGGAGAAGCAAGAGGTGTTTATTGCAAAAAAATCTATTTGTTGTGGAAAATATCATGATTTTGCAGTAGCAAATACATGACATTACTAGTGACAGTCAGTCATAGTGCAAAAATGAAAAATTAGTCCACTTGCTCTAGTAATCCTTGTGCAAGTTAGTCTTATTATGTATTGGGATCCTAAAACTCCCTATTAGATCAAGTAATAATTTTTACACAACAGATCTAAAGGCAGTCCAAAAGCACTGAACACATGACTGATTTGATTCAATTCAAATAAGGCTTCGTTTGGGACGGCTTTTTTTCTGCTTCTTAAAGCAGCTTTTTAGTACAAAAATAAAAAAATTTGTACTAAAAAGCCGCTTTAAGAAGGGGTGACTACTCCTGGAAGTCCCGTTGACAAAGAGATTGTCTTATATCTCCTGTGGAGAACTACTCTCGAACTAGTCTTCTGTTAGACCGGTCCAGAGAGGACCGGTCCAGCCGGCCCAACCATTGGGCCGGCTGTGTTCATTTACGGGAGAAGAAGGCGGGCGGAAACAACAGGGAGCCGGAACCGCAAGGAGGCAATCGGGTGGGGTCCACTTGCTTTTCAAATTGAATCTTGGAGCCAAAAGGAGTGGAAGCAAGGGCAATTAGGTCCTTTTATGTTATTTTTGAATTGTATGCTTTAAGTATGGAGAAAAGGATAGATTAGGGTTATGTTGAATTTGCTTGAAGTTTTTCTTGTTCTTCTTTGGTGGCTAGGCTCTAGATCGAATTCTAGAGATTGGGAGAGTGCGATCCTCCTCTTGAATAAAGGATCCTTGTATCTTTGTTATTTTCCTTGCATCTACTAGTAAAATACAAGCTTTTTCTCCACTATTTCTCTCAGATTTGCTATTTTTTTCCCACTTTTTTGTGCCAATTCCTGCTATGGACAGCAGGTTCTCACTGTTTCTTGCGTCGAAAGTGGTTAGGAAATACTTGAAATCAAGTATTTCCTATCATCTTCGTAATTCATGTTGTAGGGCATTACGGGGGAATTCAGCAATGTGTTGTTGGGTTAAGTCTTCGGGGACGTCCGGAGGAATATGAGGTTGGCGGCCTGCGCACAAAGGATGGGTAGAGCTTGCTGTGTCAGCAAGCTCATTTTCTATATGTGTCGGAGGGCGCATCCTTGGCGACGGAAGGGAAATCTCGACATGAAGATGTTCAGGTTGAACATCTTCGAGTCTTGGTGGATCTCGAGGGAGAGGGATATCTTCTTGGGGTGCTAGTGTCGGTCCTCGAGTCTATCGCAAGAGTTGAAGGATCTCGTTCTGAGACTCCTCAATCTTTCTGATACAATCTTCCAGGGAAGGTCCTGATGTTTCTTCCCCAGTAGGGTTTCACCCCCAGGGTGAAAAGAAGCAGATGTCTGGCATCCCTAGTTTTCATGTAAGGATTCCTAAATTGATGTGAATTGAAGCGTGAGGCTCCCAAGATGTGATGGTTATGCCTGTTGGCCATTAGATGAGTGCTTAAGATAGTGGGATTGAAGCTTCCCACAGACAGCGCCAAACTGTTGCGGGCTAAAATATACGCAGCGATGGAGTTTTAATTCTACATCTAAGCATTATACGGATATCCAGCTCACACAGAGAAAACACAATATTTTTTACATGAAAAATCCCGAAAAGGAAAAAATCACGGGGCCTAGCCCAGTTGAAAAGACTCCACTAGAATTTGAGTTGAGTATAGTGGGCTGACTTGTCCTTGAGGGTGATCAGATTACAAATGTCAACTATATGATTGAAGTCTAGTGTCAAATATTGCGTCACTTGGAAGTTCGAGCGTCAGTTGATAGTCCGACAGAGACTTGCCGGAAATCTGGCGTTAGTTGATGGTCTAACGGAACTCAGGCCTTCAGGTGGTGGTCCGGCGAAGATCAGACCTTCAGGTGGTGGTCCGGCGAAGCTGAGGCCTTCAGGTGGTGGTCCGACGGAGTTCATGCCCTCAGGTGGTGGTCCGGTGGAGTTCAGGCCCTCAGGTGGTGTTCCGACGGAGTTCAGACCCTTAGGTGGTGCTCCGGAGGAGTTCAGGCCCTCAGGCGGTGGTCCGGTGGAGCAACGACGTTAGGCGGTGGTCGAGGAGGAGCAAGAAGGCAAGAGCTATCTCTGATCTCTGTCTTGAATTCTTTGGATTGGGGTCCCTTTTCAAGAGAACATGGAGCTCTATTTATATATTTTTAAAGTGGCATGGCCTGTAAATATGTGAGATATCAAGGACAAATGGGGAGTGGTTGGATGAACGGCCGATGTTGAATCCCTTGATCATGGACCGTTTGATGGACATTTGAGTGTCTTAGTGATGTCAGAATTTGGTGTCTTGGGCTTGTTGGATTCATCTCGTCATGCCGCTCGATTCCACTACGGGAAAACACGCGATTACCGTCGGATTTTCCGGCGAAAATTTTTGCGCCGGTACGAACGGCGCAGTTAACGGCGGAATATTCCTAAATCTTGCGACGGAAAACTTACGACGCATTTGCCGGCGCATAATACGACGGACATCTTCAGGCGTCCCATGCGCCAGTAAAATGCGTAGGTAAAACGAGCTCTGAACCGATTCCGTCGCACGTTACGGCGGAAACATACCGGCGAACAGTACCGACGAAACTTCCGCCGGCTTATTTAAACTCAACGACTTATTTCCGTCGCACATTACGACGGATCTTATTTCCGTCGGACACTCCGTCGGAACGTCCGCCGGTAAATTCGACTATAAGCATGTTATGTTTGGAAACGGTTTGGTAATCCAAATTATGATTCGAATCTTCCAACAACGCTTATTTGGACCCAATTGGGCTCGGATTGAGTTGGATTTTGCGTCGTTGGGTTCGTACTCTCGAGATGTTCAGTTTGATCGTAAGTTAACTGAAATCGGAGTTTGGATGGTTCCAATTTTAATTTCGAAAGTTTCCAACTTAATTTTACATCGAGATTTGTGCCGATCAAGATAATTTTTTGATGAAGTAAAATTATTTTAACTTGGCGTGACTACCTAATTTTTTCCTTTTCAATGATTTTCCACATAAAAATTTTGTATTTTTAAATTCTCTATTTATGTGTTGGATATCTGCACAACAATGAGGCGTAAAATTCTAGTTCTATCGCCGCATATATTCTAGCCCGCAACATTTTCCAACCCATTTTATTCCTAAAACAAAACCCTCCATCCAATAACCTTCACAAAACCTACTTATCCGTCAAAGAATATGCATTAATTAGAATAATAATACTTAATGGGAAAATTAAAAGGGGAAAAATGCCGATTCTTACCAGCGACGGAGTAATTGTTCTCCGGTGAAGCGAACAGGAAAGCATCAGCTTCAACTATTTTTCTGCGGAAAGCCTCGATGACGGGAGGGTAAGTTCCGTTAACCTCAAGATCAGTATTGAGCAAGGGAAGCTCGGAGATGTCCACGTGCTCGATCTCTATCCCGTCAATAGACTCCCTGGAGAGTTCCACAGCTTCGCGATAGAACAAATAGATTCACTGATTAAGAAATTCAAAACGAAAGAAAGAAAAAAGAAGCAGAAGAAGAATAGGAATTGGGGAAGCGGCAGAAAAGAAAGGGAAAGTGGAAAATTAGAGAGATACCGCTTCGGATGAGTCCGCTGTTGAAGGAGGCTTTGCGGAGAGAGCCGCTTATAGCCACTACCTTGATTGCTTTCGCCGCCATGATCGCCACTCACTTCCCTTGCCGCCTGCTCCTTGCAACTCGATTGCTTTGTTGTCGAAATTGCATCTCATGGGTTTATTATTATAGCAGGCGGGAGATAATGCCGTCAGCATGAGAAAAAGTATCGTGCACATGCTGCACGGTAGTGTACCACGTGGCATAGAATAATTAGGCAAGGATGTCCTGAAAAAATTTTATTCTTTTTAAAATTATTAAATAATCCAAATTTTAACATAACAAAAAATTTTATAGTTAATTTTTATTTTCTAAAAATTAATTTTTATTAATGTAGAATTTTTAAATAAATGAAAATTTTACATTTTTTAACTAATACATTTCATTATTCTCAAAATTTGAAAATAAATAGAAATTTAAAATAAAATAATTTAAAATTTTTTAACTAAATTTATTTCAATATTCTAAATTTTTTGAAATAAATAATTTTTTTTATTTAATAAAGTAATTTATATTTTTTAAATGCTTCAAAATAACTAAAACTTTATAATGCTTTAAAATAAATTATAAATTTAATTGGAACAATAAAACTTCGGTCACAAATATATTAGCATAAGAAAAAGAAGCACCCTTTGATATCTAACATCTTTAAATCCGGATTTTTTGTAAACATGAAAAACCAAAGTTTTCACATAGTATTTTTTATCGAAAAATAAATATAATTTCTTTCGTACCCGTCGCTCAATGAGAAAATGGGTCAGATTCTGCAGGATCAACAAACTTATGGGACTTCAGGAATGAAGGAAGGGAATCAAAATAAATTCGAAATGAAATAAATATCCAAAAGAAAGAAGAAAAAAATTACAATTTTTAGAAAGGTTCATCTTTAAAATATTAGATTTTGTTGTGCCCTAATTATTTATTGAAGAAGGTGACGAAGGCTAAATCAACTCTTATGGGAAAACTATTATCGAGAAGAGCCGAAGATAACATCCTCCTTGCACGGAGAATTTATCATTTGAAGTTGAATCATGAAATTTTAGACTTCGTTTGAGATAATTTTTTATTGTTTTATGAAGCAATTTTTTAGTAAAAAATATTTTGAATTAAAAATTTTTATACTAAAAATCTGCTTCATAAAACATTAAGAAAGCTATCTCAAACGAAGCTTTAGTGATAAACTTGTTTTTTTTTCTCCCAATTCCATTAATGACAATCGATGAACAGTATAAATTAGTTACATTGGCAAGGAATTTTTTTTTTAATTGTTAAATTTATTTTGAGACTTATATTTTATTTGAGATGACTTTTATACTATTTCATAAAGCAATTTTTTAGTAAAAAATAAAATAAAATTTTTATACTAAAGACAGCTTTAAGAAGCAGTAAGAAAGCTATCCCAAACAAAATCTTCAATTGTAATGAAATAGCACATCAAAAGTAGGATCATGTTGAGGATAGTGCATTAATGAGCTATTATAGTAAGTAAATAACGCTACAACTATCAAAAAGCAAGAAGAAAAAAGGTTTTAAGATAACACAACAATTAATTATTTCAAAATATCCTTTTAAAACTTTTAATCAGAATAAATATCAAAGCTCTTAAATTTGCTTTAAGATTAATGAAATATATAAATAATTAATATTGTACAGAAACAAAATATATCTAAAGGGTTTGGCATATTTTCTCATCATTTTCTGATCAGAATATTCTGATAAATTCATTTTTTATAAGATATAACTAAAAAAAAAAATATTGGGTTATAATATGCTAATAAAATTTAATTAGGTTGAATTATAAAATCTCTAAATTCATTTTATGATAAATATCATATAAATTGAGTTATTAATTTTTATATAAAAATTTAAAAATTTTGAAATTTATTTTGATCAATTTTTAGTCCTTTCTTATTAAACTTTTGTTTGAACATTTTTCTCCCAATAAATCTGGAAAGAATCTGACCTCGAACTCGTCCAGATTCAATCAGACTGTGACATCGATCGCCTTTTGCTTAAATTGATCCAAGAGGTTATCGTAAAAGAAGATCGCTTCAAAATTGAATAAAATTTTAATTTGGGCCGACTCAAATGAGTTAAATTATGAGTCAAATTTTTTTATTCAGTTCAATTTTGAGCAATACATTGATGGGCTTAGAAAAATTTGAATTGTATTGAAAATATTGTGATAC